CTTTCCCACATGTGGGGACAAGAAATTTTTGTAATCGTCAACTTATAGTGAATTTTTATAATTGGGTCAGACCCCGTAGTTTTTACCCATTCTGGGTTTTCAACTTAAAAGCTTCTGGTATCTTACTTGTTGTTTTTTTATATCTGAGTATGTGTTGAATCTTCGTGCAATGCTAGGATAACAATCTATTACTCTATGACAGTGAATTTTCTAACATGCATCAACCTACAACATATCACTTTAATCTTTAACATTACATCAAAAACATCACCATCATTTTATTTTTCATGCATAAATCTATGAGACCAACAAGTTAGAAGTATAAATATCAAAATTTGAGTGTTTGATGTATAAATACATATAAATTGTGAGGTATATGTGTAATTTTTTCTACTAAAACAAGCCGTAGGGCTACATTCCTACCTACAATAAGTCCAAAAATAGATAGCTGCAATAAATTCTATGACATCATACAACGATTATGGTTAGGTTTGGTATAGTGATGAATGATTGACGTAATTATGCTGTATTTATTATACAGAGATGAGAGGGGCTAGCCAGACAACCACACAAAAAAAGAGTAAATAAGAAGAGGGATTCTTATTCACAGAGATGAGTCACGAATCACAACTCACGAGGCACAAGCAAGAGAGAATGAGACAAGGTTACTCTTTTATCAACGAGGCAGAGAAATAGGCAAAGGAAATCGACATCGTCAGTAATGAAGAAAATACATTAACCCAAGATTGAGAGCTTTCACTCAATGTTTCTCCCTAGAGGCAAAGGCCACATCCTACATCCAATGCAAAGGCGATTAACAAATAGACCCTGTGACTCATGAGGTTATTAAGGATTTATGGTTTTTAATTTAAAATGGAATATAATATATTAATGTAAGATATATATAATTATAAATGTATAGTATTATGGTTTCCCTAATTATTTATCAGAACATTTTAATTTAAATATTTATTATTTAATATAATAACATGGTTTCATTTTTTTGTTTATATTTTTCATAAATTAATATTATTATATATTATAATTTATAAAATATAATTTTTACATATAATTATTTTAAATCCTTTTATATTTCGAACAATAAACTGTTAGTGTTTGGCTTGTTTAACTAACCAAACGAAAAAAAATTATTCACGTTCGTCTCATTTATTTATCAAACTAATCGAACACGAACTAATTGACGAACCGAACAGGAAATATTCACGAATAACGAGCTTTTTTAACAACCTTAGTGGTATGCATGCAAATCAATTTTTCATTTTTTGGGCTCATTTATAAATTAGGGAAAATAATAAATTATTTTGAAATCAATCATTCGAGAAGCATTTTACAATTTTCACACAAATTTAAAAAATATTATTGGTCTTAATTATATTTTTCTCAATTTATATGATGATGGTTGAAATGGACCCGTCATTGCAAAAATGAAATATTTCGAATATAATATTCATACAATAAGAAGCCTTTAAGGGACGTTGAATGTTTGGACGGATTTGGCTTTTTCTATTTTTTCCTCCATATTTAAAAAAATTAAATTATAGTATCCTAAGCTAATTGAATTTAGCTTAAAAATGCTATTTTTATTTAAATAACATTTTTATTGAATTACTTTATTCGATATAAAAAATGATATTTTTTGCAAAAATGCGGTCGCATTTCGCTTAATTAAAGATAAACATGTAATTACTTTATTGAATTATATTACGTGGGAATGTTTTATAATTGAGATAAATTGCACTCGATATATTCCAAGCAATTTCTTACAAAAATAGTGTAAATATTAAAATAGTTATTTAGGAAATAATTTACCACCTAACTCGTACCCCTAACCCACATTTCTATCATAAATGGAGAAAAAATTTAAATTTAATGATATTTAATTTTTAAAATTTGTTTAAAACCAGAAGTTATTATACGACCTCCAGCTATCCTCTAATGTGCCTAACAATTAAAGTACCATATCTTTAAAGCTAACTGTGTCAGACAAGATTCAAACCCCCGGGCTGAGGAGTCTCCAATCAACAGGCCATTGACGCCAACTCTATATATATGACCTAATTCTTATGTATTTACATATCTTATATCTAAATTTTACTTTTTATATTTATACCACTCCAATGTTTTATATCACATAAACAATATCACCATCATAACATCTTAAAAATAAAAGACTACATCAGGACTCCGCACGTAGAGTTACGTGCGGAGTCAAATGAAATCACGCCACCTAGAATAAAAAATTCTGTCTGGTAACACAAGAAAATATTCCTCCCGTATTATTCAGGTGTTATTGTGTGTTATTCAAGTATTATTGATGTGTTATTATGTTATTATAGCACTTGGAATATTCCGAGAACACAATAACACCTGAATAACATACAATAACACATGAATAATATAAAATAACATGTTGAGAATATTCTCTCGCGTTACCGGGTCTATCATCTCGGCATAATTTCATTGGACTCCGCATGCAACTCCACGTGCAAAGACCTGATGTAATATTTGCATAAATGAGATAACAAATAATTTATTCAGTGGCATGTATGTAAATAATCGTCCTTAATATCTAAGTTAAAGATATAATATTTTAGGATAATTTTATGAAATCTAAGTTTATTTATTTATATTCCAATTTTATACATTGGTCGACCATCTTAATTATAAATTCCAAAACACCTTCCTTTCCCCCAACCTCCTTTGTTCATATCTCTCTCCATCTCTCGAGCATGGGTGTCGTCGACGACCCAAGCGAATCCGGTCTGCTGCTCCTCCGGTTGGGCCGAGCAGGCCAGACCGCCACGCCGGCAAACCGCCGCCGGTTAAGGCGAGACCCTACGACAACATCACAACCGTCGGTTTTGAGCTCATCGGCGGTCTCAGGGCCTTCCCTGAGCCTTGGATTTTCAAACTGTGAAGTTTTGGTGAAGAACGAGGCGGAGGGAGGTGGGAGTGATGTGGAGGAAGGCGGCAGCGGCGGTTGCCGGAAAAAGCTCCGGCTAACTAGGGAGCAGTCGGCTGTTTTGGAAGATAGGTTTAACGAGCACAGCACGCTGCTTAATCCGGTCAGTTCTTTTTTTGTTCAAATTTTTGGGGAATTTACATACACAGCACCAATTCTTATGATTTCTATTCCAATTTTGAAATTTTAATTGTCCTCCAAAATAAGAATTGATATGGAAAAAAAATAAAAAAAATAAAAAAAACACGAGAAAAATTTGCGTACCTAAGACTTACGCAGCAACTCGTGTCACAGAGGTTATTCAGAGAATATTGGAGGGTTATATCCGCGTTATACCCCCTTTAACTTCCTTGTAACCTATCTGTAACATACTTGTACCTTCTAGTAAGTTTCACACTTCTGTTTTCATATATTTATATGTTACAGATGGATTCTTAACGTGGATATAACCCCCTAATACCCTCTGAATAACCTCCCTGACGTACACAACGCTGTGTACGTCTTACGTACGCAAATTTTTCACTCGGGCTAAAGTA